TGTTACGCTCTCCTTTACGGGAAATATGCAAACTCATCATCAGTCGCAATTTTGACTATCAAAATCACACGATTGATATGATGGTGACGTACTTGAAACTCTGATGTATAGAGTTAGAGATCATAATCAAAAAGCGATACCATCACTTTACCAGGCAAGGTTTATTCATCCAATGCTTCTTTTTTTCTTCTTTTTCACTTTTTATGTTATACCTTTTTCACGTTTCGTCGAATTACAATGTCATAACATGTTTTAATGTTTCATTTATATTTTAAAGTTTTCACGTAATAAGTACGTCCTAGCTTCTGAATTCAAATGTCCCCCTTTCTGTGTTTCCTTCTTTCGTCGGTGTCTCGCCTGCGGGTGTAGTTGTACATTTCCCGCGAAGAGAGTGCGAGGCGGGGCAAGTAGTGCGCACAAGTTCTTCCTGGAGCACGGGAGGGAGATAGCCCCTTTTTGCACGCGCCGCTCGCTGTCCCCGGGGGCCATGACTCTGCTCGCGACGACGTCTGGGGGAAATTGTTGAAATCTCTCGCGCCAACGACAGGGGAAGCGGCCCCCACTGACGCAGTGTGCGGAAAATTCTCATTATTCATTGGAAAGTTGCTTAGTGTATAATGATCATTGGGCATTTAACACAAAAAAATAGGTTTAATGTCAATTACACTACTAAGCTATTTCGCTCTTTTCGTTAATCAGTTGTTATATTGACATACCGCAACAAAAATGAATAGTAAACCACTCTTAACTGCTCGGCTGTCGCCACAGTTTACAAATTTCAACCGGTATTCAAATGTTATTTAATTGTTAGCGGCCTATTGACAATTACTGATATTTTTTCTCGACAAAATTATTTCAACGAAACATTTTAATGGTTATTTGCAGAGGAAATAATATATAATGTACATCAAAGAAAATTAATCAAATAAATGAAGAAACCTTTACATTTTTAATACAAGATAAGAGCAATAAAAATACACGTTAGATAAATAATGAGTACAAGTCAATTTTCAGAAAAAATAACGTTTTTATGTCTTAAGAATAACAGAAACATACGTGTGCTTTCAAATACACCTAAGGAACATGTGGGAAATGTGTTTCAAAAATATGAGAGACAAATTAATTAGCTCCAAGGGAATTAAGGTGATCTGTCGTGCTTTATAATGCTCTCCTAAAATATTGTAAACGGTGAAAGTATACATTTTTTATTCTTGAAATTTCAAATTATTTGTTAAAAAAAATTATGAAGGTTTGCTTTTCTAGACAGTTAGAGAAATAATTACATCCGTCGTTTTTAATAAAGGTAGTGGGAGACACATGTTCGTAATAAGTGATGGTTATTTTATTGATCAGTTTCCTTCTGCCATCTACGGGCTACTAACAATGTTTTGTTCTGCTATTTTCGCTTTGCGGTCTGCAGGTGACCTTGAGGTGCGAGCGTCGGTCAGGAGCGATCGTCGCCTGTTTGGAACAGTTGCGGAGGAAGGGGAGGGGGAGGGGTAGTTGCTTCTGGCGCCTGCCACCGCATTCACCCTCCCCTCTGCGCATGAGCAAAAGAGAGCGATTGTGATTGGCGCAGATTTCAAACGAGTTACCTCTTTCGAATCGCAACAGATCCGTTAGGTCACGATGAACGTCCTGTGGGTTCGCTTTGCGTGTCTGTGAAGAGCCTGGTTTCGTTTCGCTTTTAAATTAACATTATCGGTCGACGTACTACATGTTCTGTATTGCTGTAGTAGATTACATGCTTTTACCTTTGCGTATTGACAAAGTAATATTTTTATGCTGCGATAATTAACCATTAGTCGGTGAAATGGGAGGAAACTGTAAGTGTAATTGAGGCATGAAGCAATGTTGGAAATTACGTCCTTTCAAGATTGTAAGTACTTGCATGTATTACATATTTTTACAATCAGGAAGTATGAATTTGAAATAGTTTTAATTATGAACTACCGTGTGCAAATGCTGAAGGCGTTCTTGAGGGCCACGTAATCACATGTAACGCGTCACTTCAGTGAAATCGAATACAGGCTGTAGGCAAATAGCGTTCAGTGTTATTTAAACTGAAAGACGTGTCTGTTTTTTAACATTCTACGATTTTGGAATATTTTGGTTTTCATTAGTAAGCAGCATGGAAGACATCCTGTCGACATGCAAGTAAATTTTGTTTATGAACGAAACATTTACAAAAAAAAATATTGTTGAAAAAATTAAGCTTTGAATTAAATGCAAATCGAAGAAGTAGTCTTACTTTATTGTTATTTAGATTGTATTTTGAGTACGAATATTGTAAATCGAATGTAGTAAAATATGATTTTTAATTGAATGAAAAGAAATTCGTCGGGTGTGACGGTATGGTGACATATTGATTGCAATCGGCAAATGTTTGGTTCATATGCGTTGGTGCCTGTATCTCATCTTATTAATTGAAATACCTACTTTTTCATTTAAATACTTAAAAGCAGGGAATGTTTCTGAATTCATTAACGAATGAATTAGTGGTAGAGCGATTTATTAGAAGTATCTACGTGAAAATGCATTGGCATGTCATACTTAATATACATTTAAATACTATTAAAGATAGATTAACTATTATTAAATTACATACTAATAATGTTTTGTACAAAGTTTCGAAATACTTATCTTATTAGATTCGATTTATCATTAATTCTAGAAGTGAGTATAGGGCCATTGTGGGAGGTTACCACAATTTTACATCAATTTTGATCTACAATGAAATAATTAAAGATGTTGTCATTGCCAACAATGTTTTTTAATTCAAAAGCAGCTTTCGATGGCTTAGCCATCATCATCAGTTGTCTGCTACCTACGGTAGTCGTTTTGTGGCTTCCATCTAGCAGACAACTGATGATGATGGCTAAGCCATCGAAAGCTGCTTTTGAATTAAAAAACATTGTTGGCAATGACAACATCTTTAATTATTTTAAAAATGCCAAAGATATCCTACCACAACACCTATACTACAATGAAATGTTTTACAAATAATAAACAGTTTCCCCGCAGAAACCTCCACAGCATACGTCCCCTCACTGCTCTTAAATAATAATAATAATAATAATAATAATAATAATAGTATTAGTAGTAGTAATAGTAACAACGATAGTAATTAAACCATCACTTAATTTTTGTTTAAAATAATAATTTTACATTACAAAATAGCAGTTATAAACAATGGTTTAATGAATATGAAGGGCTACAAAACTTATTTGCTCGTATTTTGAAATTTAATAACATTAATTTAATCCATTGTGTATCTGCTGAATTGTGGAATACCTTTTCAGGGTAAACGCTAAGTGTGTGACATATTGTGCCCAATCCAGTGTTTATCTTAGTTGCCTAAATTGTTTTTAGTCATATTCCCTCAACTGCATTTCTCTTTTGTAGGTACGTGCCCCTCTTGCCGGGAATTTCTGATCGAGCGCTTTTGGCGACTTCGCGGAGCGGACCCATGCAGCATGCATTCAGCGTTGGCGTGAGTAGTTTTATGGAGCTCCAGAACATTGAAGCATTTATAAGCGATATAACTCATTGCCTTTAGGAAAGCGTAAATAACAAGAATGATTTGTTAAATATTAAATTTACAGTCTGGTTGCAACTATTTACAAATCAATAATATATGAGCGTTTTCGCGGAATATATCATAATCATGAATCGTGAGGGAAAACCATTAATGCACTAGAGTTAATCATTCATTTGTTGTACGTTTTCTGTACACAATGCGTTTCGTCAGTGTTTTGGTTTTCTCGCATCTTTATTGCAGTCAGATAAGTTGTGATGGAAGAAAATAGTGTCTCACAACTTCTCTTTCTCTCTTCTTTTTGTCCTCTAACTCATCTCTTTCCTTTCTCTTATATCTTCGATCCTCTCCCTCCTCTATCTTCTTTCTTTTCTGTATCTTCCTTCATCTATCCTCTCCTCTTTTTCTCTTTCCTCCCCTGTTCTTTCCTATTAGGTTATGTATTGAAATGTTGAAGCTATTAAAACAGGGAAAGGCGGAAGAAAATCATAACAAAATTTATGTAAAACACAAGGGTTTTTGTTTACAAACACTGGAAATTTTGGGAAGTTTGCAATTTTATTTTTTATTGTATGTTTTATGCGATTCTTTCTGTGCCTCGATTATGATCATGAAGGAAATATGAGGCTAACACTTGCCTCTTCTGTGTAACTTTTAGTTGCTTGAAACTTTTACAGAGCATAAAAAGTCGTACGATGCCCACATCACATGTTATAACATTACGAATCAATCGGTCATCAAACTAGAGTAGTCTCGTCTTGTATTACAATACGATGCGCGACACTTCTTAGCCGTGAGAGACGACTACGAGAGCGATGAGCGACTGTGTAGAAGTCGTCTGTTTGGTGGCGGGCAGAGGAAGGAACGTGGCCGTGGCACGCGTCAGAAGCAAACCCGTTAGTGCTGTCGGTCTGTGGCAGCGCTGAAGGCCGCCCGGCCTCGTCACCAACGGAGGGAGCGGCCAATGACAAAGCAGCGCGTCACTCATTCGTTCATTGCCACCCCTCATCCATCAGACTTCGCTCGCTCGTCTCATTGCCCTGGAAGACTTGGGTGGGGAACAGCCTTCGCTCTTTCCAGACAAGTGTCCGTCTTTTTGGCCCTCATGCTCGTCTTTGAGTTTTTAATTCATTGTTGTATTCTAATTCGTTCTGTAACGCTGTCGCAAGGTAGGAGACTAACCGGAAGGATTTGAGCATTATTTAATTTCGTGGTTAATTTTCAGCTCAACACGTAGTACTTCCTTGAACCGTTTAAATATTTTGAATAGTAATAATAATTACTTGAAACAATCAGGAATATAATGGTGATTATAGAATAAAAACCTTCATTTCATACCAAATAGTTTTTTGCAACTAATTTCATTCAAAAAAGCCATGTGTTCTGAGAGAAAGGAACTTAGAAGGTGAGTTCCATAATAATGACATTGTATTGGATATAATTATCGTTTGTGAAAGATGTAATTATTATTCAAGAATTAACTATCAGCATTAACATTTAATAAAATATTTACATAATTTGTATAGGATTATTCTAGTCTGTGTATAATATTTTTTTATATTTTCTCAGTACAGTGTTTACATACCTAATACGGTGTCCCTGGCGATGCGAACAATTAGTTCGCAAAACGTGATTTGAAATATAGAATTACATATCTTTTTAACTCATTATTTGGAAATCATTAATCTATTAGGAAATAAATAACTGATTGTCTAAAAGATTAAGATACTTCAATAATATACAAAAATAATAAAATAGTTGGTAATTTAAAATTGTAAGTAAAGTTAAGAAGTTCGTATTCATTTTCATTAATCAACTTTTAGACTGTTCTGCGTCTTCAGAACATTTACGTTTTCTAATGTTTTTTGATGTTTTCATGTCACAAGTTTGCATTTTGGGAAGAGGTTTGACTTCCATTGGTATTTGCGTTTTGTCGTAATTCTCCTTCGCCGCCTTCTTCTTATCCTCCCCTCCTTCTCCTTCGTGTCATTTCCTCCTTCTTCACCTTGCGCTCTTTCTTGGTCGCCTGGAGCGCCCTTCCGCCTCCTGAGCCGAGAGGCCCTCGCTCCACGCTCCGCACCTGGCCTCCCCCTGCCCTGCCTCCCCCTGTGTGTGTGTGTGGGGGGGGGGGCTCTCTGCAGCTAATTAATTACCTGGCGGCGCCTGCGCCCTTCCCCCTCTTCCCCTCCTCCGCCCCCGCGCCCAGGGGGCACAACGCTGGCGCGGCCTCGCCGTGCACGAGGGAAGTGGCCGTCTCATAAAGAAGCGTTTGGTTTATTGGTATACGTTGACATAATGATATAGGTAGGGAAAATTGGATAAAGGTTCTTCCAAATAAACATGATAATTCAAAGAATACATGTCTTTGCCTGCGAAAGAAAGGACTCTGCTCAGAATAAAACCGTTTCATGTCGATTTGTGAAATGTATAACTTTTTCCAATTGTACCGATATGGGAGAGCAGTGTAGTATTGAAAAATTACATCGTAAAGGTTGTTTTATATTTCAGTCTTCTCCTCTAAGTGATCATACAGAACTGTTTAACCTACTGTTCACAAACTCTAATGTTTTGGCTGCTCCTTTTTATTGCGAAAATTGTCAAGTAATTGGATAATCACTGAACATTAATGACTAAGTAATTCTTACATCTAAATTGTTATTTTAACTATTGATGTCTCAAAGTTTGTCAAATTTCAAAAAAGCGACGACTAATGACTAAGTGTAACACGTACGCGTCGTATTGTTCAAAATTAGTGAGATCAAAATAAATATTCTAAAATTCTTGACGCTATTCTTTTAGTAAAAATTACCTAATTTAATTTTACGACTTAGATTTTTCGTACTATATTTCGAATAGACGAGTGAACGTCTATCTTTAATAATATAATTTGTCATTATTTTTTCCGTATATTTTTTCCAAAGAAAATTATAGATTTGAAAATATGTTTATTTTAGAAAAGACACTTTATTTTAATTATTTATTTAAGGTCGCCTTAGACACAACTAGATCGTTAGCGATCACAGTTACAAAATTGCAGGACATTTTAAAAGTGCACCAAATGAATAAATATAAAACAAAAGTCATCGTTTTGGTTTTTTTTTCTGCTTGAAATATGACTCGAAAAAACACGCATACCTTCTCAAGGGAGAAAATTTCCATTGCCTACAGTGCTATCTCGACAAATACATCTTGCTTATAAATAACACCAGGTATTTGGGATGTTTATGTAAACGCTGTAAAAGAAATATATTCATTTTTACATCTTTATTATATTTCAAAATATACCATGAATTGGGAAACAATGATTTTAGCCACGCTCTGCCCCGCCACGCCATTCCCACCACGCCACTCCCCGCCACGTCACGCCGCGCGTCTCGTCACCCCGCCCTTGTATGTTCGCTACTATATTCTTTGTACGGACACATGGTAGCACTTTCCAGGTTAACTCCCAGGAACAACTTTTATCTTCGTTACTCGAAGCTTAATTGCGCTGTTGAAACAAAATAAAATACATTCAATAGGGCGTTTTACGAGCTTTCTGAAATATTTGCAGAATCTGTGGTGCATATTGCTTATGGTTTTGGAAACAATTCGAAAAACAGAAATAGTGGACAATTAAGTTTTAATAAACGAAATAGGAAAGGAATAAAAGGGTAATTTTTCGGTATCTTGTGGTAAATTTTCTAATTTTTGAAAAGCAAATGCACAAAATTTCACTAAGGTGGAAAAAATAATGTTTTATATAAAAAAACAATTGAAGTATTTGAAATTTATGCCTTATAGATAAAATGTATTTTAATTTGATCACATTTATTTAATATTTGTAAGATTAAAAACTGATTATTGAATTAATTTCTTTCGTTTGAATAGAATAAATAAAAGTTATATTTTAATACTCATCAATGACTTTCCAATATCTGGGGGATGGGGGAGGGGGCTGAAACTCTATTTCTCTGCTTTGGTGGTCACACCCATATGGGTGTATGAAAAGGCATTTATTATGCAGTCACAGACTCACTTCAATTGCATTTATACAGATTAATAAACGCGTCGCCCACGCACACTGGCCTCGAGGCAGTGGTCGGGGGCAGCTGTCGGGGCGGGCTGTGGCGCGGCTTGCCAGGGAGGGCATTTGTTTCGTCATTAGCGCCGCGGGGGCCTTGACCGCACTTCCCCCTCCCCTTTGCCTTGAGCTCCTCGCAGGTGGCCGTGGCCCAAGACGACAACCCCTGCACAACAATCTCACGAAGTTATCAACTCGGAATATCCTGTTACCTCAACTCACACCACGTCTCACGCTATAACCCTTTCCTAGAATTGTGTTTACATAGGTGGCGGAAATTCGAGTCTACAAAATTTTCACATGAAATGTATGTTTACACCTTAGCCACTAAATGAAATGAATCTTAATTCTTTTCAGTTCATGACTGAAATTCTGATTACCTTCAGTTAATAACTGAAACTAATTTCTAAAATTATTGAAAATAATAAGCTACTTAACGTAAAGAAAAATCTCAAATATTTATAAATTAGATCTTATATTAAGCCGAACGTTAAGAGCATAAGTCCAGTAAAGTAGAATGTGTTATACAATCACAAAAATATAGATTGATCTAGGCTTCTCTGTCAAAATTATAGGTGAAATTACATTGCAATACGTTCATCGAAACATTAATCAATTACACTTCAAATGCTATAATTTCTGCAGCTGATCACTCAATACAATCTTACATCCCTGAAAAAAGTAGTAGTTTATTGCTTTTTCAATTATGTTACAGAGACTCACCCAATGATGCTTGTAGATTCTGTACGTCGGTTTCTAATTTTGTTGTTTAAATTGCTATCCTTTCTAAATTTTTAAATCATTATTTACAATTAAAAATCTCTGTATTTTATATATTGATTATTTTCCGTTTTATCTCTCTCTCTCTCTCTCTCTCTCTCTCTCTCTCTCT